AAAGTAAGCTTTAAAATTGGAAAAGCATTTAAAAACGCTTTTTTTAATGGAGGATCCCTAATTTACAAACAAATGATCAATTAAAATGATATATTAAAGCATTGAAAGATGCTGATTTATAATGATAAAACCTAAATAAACTATGACTCGTGCCGTAAAAGATGTAAAGTGTTAAACGATGATTCACAATAGTAGACCTCCCAAATAAACTGGCACTAATTTTAACACTGATAATAAATAATGCCATATTAAAATAAAATAGCATTTGTACTATGAAAACACTACAACACTAAAATCCATTAGGAGTGGTTTAAAATTAGGCATAAAAATGCTACAAAATTTATGAAAATAATAATTTAATTTCTAATTCACAAAATGACTTTAGTTTTTGCAACAACTTTCAAATACACTTTTTCAATGAATTAACAATTGCGTCATATTAGCGAAATAGCTGATTCACAATGGTAAACTTAATTTAAAGTCATAAATCCTTTATAAAAAAAGCATTATTATTTTATAAATGCTGATTCCTTACGGTAATTACCCAAATTAATTAGCACTCAAACAGTATTAAGCATTAAGCAAAATAAACCATTCAGATAAAATGCTGATTTACAATAAAACATAATTAAAAATGGCAAAAAATAAAGCAAGCAATTTAAACAATTTTTATTATTCATTAATTTAGAACCTTATATTTTTAATAATGTTTTTAATAGTGTGCTTGTTTATTTGGGCTTTACCATTGTAAATCAGCATTTGAAATACTTTAAAATGTAATTTTAAAATAAAATTTCAATTTTTTGTGGGGATTTTTTAATTTTAAAATAATAATAACTAAATAGCACCTACCTTATTATCTACCTAAAAAATATATTAATAAGTTTTTTTACTTTGATAAACATAGTTAACAATTTTTGAGAAACAAATTTAAAAAAATCCCACACAATAATATAGTGCTCTATATAAACTATTTAGGCCACTTATTTATTTGTTTATTTTAATTCCAGTAAAAAACAGTAGAGCTATAGCTACTAGTATACCTACTAGCTCTATGTACAGGGTGATCCACTATAATGTCACCCCCCCTTTAACTTTTTTATTTTAAGTGTCCCAAAAAATTTAAAAGTGTGGTTATGTAGGTATTTAAAAAAAATTTTTTCTACGTATAAAGAAAATTGAAAAATTGATCAGTATACAGGGAAAAACAAAAAGTTTATTTTTTTCAATGGATCACCCTATATATGTATTTATTTTTCCATTCCATGTAAAATAGTTTGTCTTTCTCTATCTGAGTACGCCATTTTAAGACAAGACATATATTGACATAATGTCACTATAGTACTATAGTGACATTATGTCAATATATGTCTTGTCTTAAAATGGCGTACTCAGACAGAGAAAGACAAACTATTTTACATGGAATGGAAAAATAAATACATATATAGGGTGATCCATTGAAATACGTATTTTATGTAAAAAAAAATTTGATATACTGAGGGTTATTGATTTCTAACAGTTTAAAAAACATTTAATGATAACATTTCGAATGCGAATATTTCAGAAACGGTTGAATTTAGGTATATGTTTTGTTATATGAATTATGCTAAGAATTTTACAAGGAATCAAAAAATAAAATCATATATAGGGTGATCCATTGGAAAAAAAATAAACTTTTTGTTTTTCCCTGTATATTGATCAATTTTCCATTTTTTTATACATAGAAAAAAAGTATTTTTTAGTACCCACATAGCCACACTTTTAAATTTTTTGGGACACTTAAAATAAAAAGTTAAAGGGGGGGACATTATAGGGGATCACCCTGTACCTATAGCAAATTATATAATAGTTGTTGATCAAAATGGCCTAAAATTATATAAACCACGTTAAACAAAAAATAAATATAAATCCACTTACCCTTATTCCTCGGACATCTATATTTCCATATTTCCTATAAAAGTTCTTTACAAAAACCTAGGCTGGGTGACCTAGCCTGGGTCCTAGCAAATATTCCTTTGACCAAAAATTGGTCAATTTAAGTAAACTTAAAAATAATTACAGCTTTCAAATTTCTTTATTTAGATTGTTCAACTTATTTAGGTAGGTACTAAAAATTTTATTGTAAAACTACTGCAAACTATTAAAATTCATATTTCACAAAAACCATGAGGATAAATAAGTTCTATCTGGATGGAATTTTTATGCCTAATGTTAAGCTGGGTTCTAACAGAGAAATAACGCAAAATTTAATTTTAAAAGTAATGTAATTTTATTTACTTGCGTTCATACAACAAGTAATGTAATTTAATTTAACAGAAATAGCCAATGAAATCAATTCATAAGAGTCTGCGCGTTAGTCATGTGTCATGCGCGTTAGTTGTACCAATGTTTACACTTGTTGAAAACCATTGAGTTCAGAGACAAGCGAGAGACTCTGATTGAGTTCGGTTTTGTACGCCGTGGGCTACGCCTTGCTCGATGAAAAGTGTGAAACATAGCTGACTTTGCGAACCTGGGGGTACAAAATTGGATTCCCGGTATAGAAAGAAATATACCTGTATTTTTGAACAATATCGCAAGAAAGAAGAAGAAGAAAACCATTTTGTGTTTGTTTGCTTTCGTGTGTTTGTTTGCATCAGTGTTGCCAAGCGTACCTGTAAGATAATTTAAGTAACTTTACGATATACGATAGCAAATGTACTATCGTACGCAAAAATACGATAACTTATTTCAGCATAAATTTTAACATAAATAGCCTTTAAAATATTCCTATTTTGCATATTTGAATGTTGGCAACTGGAATATTTCACACGCGATATTGACGCAACAAGTTTTTTAGAGCGAAGTTCGTTCTTATATTACGTATGCGTACGGGTCAATATCGCGCATTCTTCTTACACTGGAGCAACAGAGAAGAAAACCTAAATAAATATTTTTCCTAATTACTTATGTTTCCAAGATACAGGGTGATAAAGCGTTACTTATCATATCAGTTTTTTTAATATAACTTCCACTATGGTAGTCTTGGAAAGGTGATATTTTGCGAACAGTCACTTACTACCAAAACACATATTCACACATAATTACAATTATTTGAGTGAACACAGTGTCGTAGAAACGGGGGTTGCTTTAAGCTTATTGTCCCATACAAACTTTGAGGTTAGTTTTTTTTTAACATTTGATGCAATTTTTCGATTACACAGTTCGGCAACCATTAAAAAGGTGTACCTACCTCTCAAACTTCGATAAAATAAACCGTTTCCGAAATATTCGAGATTACAATAATTGTTATAGGATCGCATTATTTAAAAGGATTAAAAGGTATATCATATACCGTATATGATAACAAATTTTATTTTTTAATTGAAAAAACAAAAAAGAGCATTCCATGAGCCTCTGGACATTTTTCCCTGACCGTCACATTAAAAAAATTGTAGTTTTTTCAATTAAAAAATTTGTTAATGCGATATAACAATTATTGTAATCCCGAATATCTCGGAAACGGTTTATTTTATCGAAGTTTGAGAAGTACACCTTTTTAATAGTAGCCGAACTGAGTAATCGAAAAATTGCATCAAATGGAATAAAAACCTAACCTCAAAGTTTGTATGGGACAATAAGCTTAAGCAACCCCTGTTTCTACGACACTGTGTTCACGAGAACAATTGTAATTATGTGTGACTATGTGTTTTGCTAGTAAGTGACTGGGACAATAAGCTTAAGCAACCCCTGTTTCTACGACACTGTGTTCACGAGAACAATAATTGTAATTATGTGTGACTATGTGTTTTGCTAGTAAGTGACTGTTCGCAAAATATCACCTTTCCAAGTCTATCATAGTAGAAGTTATATTAAAAAAACTGATATGATAAGTAACACTTTATCACCCTGTATCTTTTAAACATACGTGATTAGGAAAAAATTTTATTTAGATTTTCGTCTTATTTTGACTTGCTTATTCTGCTCCTAAATTTATGCCACTAAGTTTAGGGACACCTTGTATAATTGTATTTAACCAGCCAAATGTGATATTTTTTAATTTAAATGATTTTTTATAATACAGGGCCTTCCAAATTATGTGCACCCCCTTTAATTTCTAAAGGGCTTTAAATTGGTTTTAAAATAATTTGGACTACCCTGTAATTTTAAGTCGCAATGGTAAAGCCCGATTTATAGATTGCCTTCCTTCCTTCCTACAGGTATACCTTCCTCCCGTAAAAGATGAACAATACGAAAACTGTTGTGCTGTTTATAGATTCCTGTACGGGACTACGGTTTTTGTATTGTTCACCCTTTACGGGAGGAAGGAAGGCATTCTATAAATTAATGCATTAACCCAATTTGTGTATTTTAAAAAGATAATTTTGGTTTCATTTTTATAATATAATTGCTTTTTAATTTTTTTATGTATGGGTTCATTATAACATATTTTTTGTATACGATAATTTATTTGAAAATACGATAATTTTATGAGGTTGGTACGATAAATACGTTTTCAAGACTTGGCAACACTGGTTTGCATTAGTAAAGCCTGGTTCTAACAGAAAAGTAATTTAATTTAACCTAAAAGTTAAAAACCCAACAATCCTTTGGAACGTTCATACAGTGATGTAATTTAAGAGTTAATTTAATAGTTGGCCAACTTTTATCTTTTAAATTAAATTACGTTATTTCAAGGTTATTTTGTATTAAATAACCCATTTTGGGAGAATCTAACCTATTTTGTGTAAACGGTTTTAATAATAAGAAAAATATTTCGATTGTTATTACCAAAGTAAGTCATATATACCTATCTAAATCTTTTGTTTTTAATTTCAAACACTATTAAATTACGTTACTTTTTGTATGAACGCAAGTAAATTAAATTACTTTTAAAGTTAAATTAAATTACATTAAGTTATTTCTCTGTTAGAACCCAGCTCAAGTTTTTTTAAGAGTGTGCTTAGCTATTTTTATAAAAAATGGATGACGGCTTCTTAATAGAACAGGTATCGCGATTTCCGGCACTTTTCAATAAATCCGACAAGCGCTACAAATCCAAGTTGGACAAAGAGGCAGCTTGGCGCACCATAGGGAACGTTTTAAATCATATGCGTAGGTATTTTTTTTTTAATTAAGTTTTTTTATTTATAAAGTTTTATATTGCAGCCGAAGCATGTGAACAAAGGTGGATTGTTATGAGAAACAAGTACACAAAAATAAAACGGGAAATAAGAGCAAGCCCCTCAGGTTCCGCAGCATCACAATGTACTTGGCCCTATTTTGAAATGATGGGGTTTTTAGATCCATTTTTAACCACTAGAAGGTAAAGTTTACTTAAAATAGGTCATTTATGGGTTAATCTCACGAAATGTCCCCCGATACACTTTTATTGTGTTTTGATCTTTCATAATTAAGTAGATATTACAGCTCAGGTTCCAGATTTTTAAACGCAATTAATTATTTTTTACAATGTTTTAAAAGTCTAAAACCTATCCTCCGTGATTGTTACTCTTTCTAGGTTACCCTGCTTAAAATACCCCATAGATACCCTGTTCAAACCGATAGATTTTGTATCGGAATGTATGGTGTTTCTATAGGGTGTATCGGTATGTATAGGACCCATAGTTGGGATTTATGGTTGTTCTATAGGGATATCCACCCTTGATTTATTTGCTATTGGTTTCAATGGGAAAAATACACATAAATGTAGAAATTAGTTTTTCCCCTATAGGACCCCATAGGTTTTAATAAAATTTTGTCAAATGTTTTATGGTTGTTCTATAGGGACATCCCTATATATCCTTTATTAAGTTATTTTCTATCGCTCTCAATAGGAAAAATGTAAAAGTTATGGTGTAATTTCCTATACATTTTCTATCGGGCCGTATCCGGAAAAAACCATGGACAAATGCACATATTGAATCCGGTAGCGCCCGATAGATTATTTTGTATAGGTCTCTATGGGGTATTTTAAGCAGGGTAACCAATGTTTTCAAATATCTGAGGTAGTAAAATCATACTAAAAATATCAGTTCACTAAGTAAATTAAACACATCCAAAGCAACCGAATCAAATATAAAATATTATTAAAAATTAAAAGAAATAATTTTCATAACCATTTATGCAGGTGTTACAAAAATTGATTATATCCTCCGTGTATCTGTTTTTGCTATAAATTTTAAGCAACGGATGGCGCTTTAATCATTTTAAATAAGCAAAAACCTCTGTTTACGACATTATTGATGCATGTGATTCCTGAAGGTCAGTTAGAATTTATATGCACATGAGAGTGTTGCTGTTTTATAATTCAAAAGTTTAAGTTCATTAATTTGCTATTTAAAAACCTATCCACCGTAAAGTGTAATATCTCAGTAAAAAGATTTTTTTATAAAAATTGTATGTATGTACAGGGTGGTCCCCTATAATGTCGCCCCCCTTTAACTTTTTAATTTAAGGGTCCGAAAAATGTAGGTACTAAAAAATATTTTTTTTCTACGCATAAAGAAAATTGGAAAATTGATCAGTATACAGGGAAAATCAAAAAGTTTATTTTTTTTCAATGGATCACCCTATATATGTATTTATTTTTCAATTCCTTGTAAAATTCTAAGCATTTTTCATATAACATACCATATACCTAAATTCAACCGTTTCTGAAATATTTAAATTATTTTTAAGATAATAAGTTGAAATAGTTTTTCTTTTTCTGTCCGAGTAGGCCATTTTTACTTATTTAACAACAAATATTGACATAATGTCACTATAGTAATTTATTTTCAATAAAAAATTTTGGTATACTGAGGCTTCTTGATTTCTAACAGTTTAAAAAAACATTTAATGATGACATTTCGAATGCGAATATTTCAGAAACAGTTGAATTTATGAATTATGCTCAGAATTTTACAAGGAATCGAAAAATAAATTCATATAAGTATAGGGTGATCCATTGAAAAAAAATAAACTTTTTGTTTTTCCCTGTATACTGATCAATTTTCCAATTTTCTTTATACGTAGAAAAAAAGTATTTTTTAGTACCTATATAACCACACTTTTAAATTTTTTGGGACACTTAAAATAAAAAAGTTAAAGGGGGGCGACAATATAGGGGTTCACCCTGTACAATTGTATTTTTTAAAATATTAAGGTGTCAAAAGATACAATAACTTATTTCAAATATACAAAGGAATGTTTAAAAAAAAACATACGAAATCCTAACCTCCGTGAAGCTCTAATATTCAAAATGTATGATTTCTTAAAATTCTTGCATTAGTGCAGAACCACTTAGGTATGTTATGTTATTACTAGACCTGGTGGCTTCCCAAAAACCCAATTCTAGACTAACAGTGAAACAACCAAAAATAAAAAATAATCATTTTCACTTGGGGGACATCTCAATATATGTTTTTATTATCAAACTGTAAAGGTATATTAAAATGTATCGTAAATTTAAATTTTGGTCTACATATTTTAATATGCTTAACTTTTTTTAATCAGATTAATATTTTGAGGTTAAACTTTAAATTTTGTATTGTAGAAGTTGTACTTAAAATTGGGCTAGGCCTGTAAATAAATAAGTATAAAAGAATAATTTGCCACAAGAATTAGAGAAATGCTATTATTTACAGAACTACTTCAAATTATCAAATATTTCCAAAACAAGAAATATCAGCCCAGAGTCCACCTTCTAGCCCTTTCATTGCATGGGATACAAATTCACAAGTAACGTCGGATTCTACATTCGAATCCAACAGTAGGGTGCAAACACCCCTTTCTGCAACTTTGGATAATCATGAAACTCCATCAACATCAAACAGTAGAACAATGCCGAAGAAAAGGAATGCACAAGAAGCCATGATTGACAAAATGTCAACATGTTTTGATAATTTTAATAAAAGGGTTCAGTCATCCCCTACACCAGACGAAGACCTGCATTTTGCAAGAAGTTTGGCGCAGGATATGAAAATTTTAACACCCTTACAAAAAATTCAACTTAAAAGGACAATTTACGAACTTTTAGAAAATTTTGCAAACAAAAATTTGTAAATTTTATTTTATTTTGTGTGTATCTTGCTAGTTATAGAGACAATTCAAAAATCGTTTAATGTTGTAAATATTGTAATTTTTTTACAATCCAAAACTTGATCCAGACCTCAAAATATCAAATTAAAAAAAAAGTATGTTTCAAAACTACCTTTTTTAAATTTGATATCTGGATGAAGTTTTAAAATGTAAAAAAATTGTAGGGTAAACCACATAGTTATTGGACACTTAAAGAATATTATTTATTTAAAATTTATATATGCCGTTGTTTTACTTAAAAATAAGAATATTTGAATTTTTTATAATGGTTTTATAAAAACATGCAAAAAAGTTTAGTAATTGGACATATTTTATAGTAATTGGACACATGGACCATAGTTAACTAAGTGTAATAATTATTGGACATAGAATTTTTATATAAACATACAACTTTACATCAAATAACATAAATTGTTAAATATGTTTTGAAGATAAATTGCTGTTTTAGGTAATTTTTTTTATTTCGTTTTTGTAAATATATAATTCATATATTGCTTTCTCGGATTCCTCATTCCTTTTCTGGATTCTGAAGGTAACTGCTAATTCCTTGGTCTGACTTATGAAATAGTTTGTTGCAAATATCATTAAGTGTGGTAATCTCTAGTTTGCGAAGCATTTATAATGTTTAGGCACAGGATCTAATATTTTTTCGGGTGGTATGTTAAAAGTATTTTCCGAATTTATTAATTTTGTTGCCATTAGTTTTTTATGTTCTCTATCATGCACTGTATTTAAATCACTGTTATTCTGCAAGAGGTCCTGTGACGAAGAAATCACTATATTACTTACTCTCTAAAAATGAATGAGTCAAAAACAACATAGCGAAAAAGCGGCCACTAATAATTCTCGTCAACAGCAATTTGTATCCAGAACATTTAGCAGTCAATTCCTATGAAATATTATTCGCTGAATCCGAAAATGTCGTCAAAAGTTATAAAAGTAGGACAGTTTTTAAAATATAATCAATTTGACATATAATATGGAATTGACTATATCTCAAAAACTGCTTAACTTTTATAGTTTTTGACGGTCTTTTCGGATTCAGGGGACAATTTTACAAAAGAATTAGCTGGTAAATGCCCAGGATATAGAGTATGATATTGGACATGTCCAATAATAGAAATTTACATTTTTTACCAACCAGTAATTGGACACTGGCCATTTTACTGTTTGTTTTCAGAATTAAAATTAAAACGCATTAAAGTGACAATGTTTAAACCATAAGGAACACATTTATACCACAGACTGATCTATACACTTTTTAGAAATATTTTTTATTGTAATTTAAACACAGCCCTGCTCTTAATAAAAAAACAAAAATATTACTACCAAAGTAACGTGCGAACTTTTTTGTCCTTTAGGATCCAAAATAAAGTAGTTCTATATTATTACCGACTGAGATAGTTATAATTGCATACAGCGTCATCTAATGATTTGACTTTAAGGTAATGATTTATAGAACTCTTGTTTTTACAGTATTAATGTTACTTGTCTAATAACTATAAAGTGTCCGATAACTGTCTACTTTACCCTACATGTTTTTTTTATTATTTATTTTGTATGTCACAAAATCATTTTTTTATTATAGCCTATAGATAATTATAATATATTATATATAATTTATAGGCGTTATTTTTAATAGGTTTAGTCTATTTAACAGATTTTATATTCCTTAAATGTAGTTGTTTATGTTTCAATTAAAACTGTTTATAATAACAATTAAAAGACTGTTTTTGATAAATTGTTTTATTATTTACAAAAAAGATTTAGTTAAACAAGAATTTTTTTATTCAAAAGTAAAATTATCTGTAACGCCACCTGCATACACTCTATCCCCTGGCAGAGCTGGGAAAGTTACTTCTGAAAAGTATCTAGTTACTTTTCTAAGATACTTTAAACAAAATAACTTAGTTACCTCTGGTAACTAGATACTTTGAGTTAAAAGTATCTTTAGTTATAGACTTTTAACCCTGATAGCACACTTTATTTTAAGAATGTTTTTAAAACCTTTCAGTGAGAATATTCGTAGGATCATGCTACATTTCTTCTAAAGAACATGCTTAAAATAAATATAGCATGATCCTAAGAATATTCTTACTGGCCTATAGGCAGGTTCTTAGAAGGTGCAAAGTTTTAGTGGTAAAAATTAGTCTACTCTAAACATATGCTTAGAATGTTTAGAAAGTAATTGCTATAGAAAGTTCATTTAGGAATATTCCTGTTAAGCATATTTAGTTCAGTAAAATATACCATAAACTATGTATAAAGGTATATACCTATACCTAAGTACCTAATTAGTAATTAGTTATTTTTCAAATTAAAACAATATTCGATAACAAAAATACTTTTACTATAGGTATTTTATTTTATGTTAAAAATAAATATTTATTGATTTGTATACCGATTTTTTATTTCGGAATTAACATTTTTATGTATAATAATCTATCTATCTATCTTCAACTACAATCTAATCTGACTTATCCCACAAAATTTTCCAATTTTACTTTTTATGAAATAATGTCATACAACTTATGGTTTAGAGATCAAATTGTTCATTTAATATTTTTAAATAAATATATATTAATGTCGCAAAATTTTTTAAGGGGACGACAAATACATTTCACTGCCATATTATGACAGTGAAGCGTGTTTGTCGCCTCCTGAAGAATTTTACGAATGTAGAATACAACATATTAGAACGTGGGTATTTGACATATTTGGGAATATTCTCAAAAGCTCCTTAAGAAACCTTCAAAGAACATTCTAAAAACGTATTCTTAAAATGTTCTTAGGATGCTTTTTTGGAAGGTTTTAAGAAGCTTTTAAGAATCTAATTGCATCATTAAAAGGGTATCTATTGAATGTTTTAAAAGTCCCTAAGAACATTCTTAGCAATATGGGAAGGTTCTAAGAATATTTCATTATTCCAGGTCATATCTTCTTTGAATCAAATTTTGCTATCAGGGTTGAATGTATCTTAATTACTTTACCAAGATACAAGTTACAAGATACTTTTCCAAAGTAACTTAGTTAAACTTTCTGTCCAATATAAAGTATCTTAAATACTTTAAGTATCTTTTTTTCAAGATACTCCCAGCTCTGCCCCCTGGTATGTCAAGGCTCCAACTGCCGACATAAAATAATCAGCCAATATGTCCCTTAATTGCTGCACTCTTCTGGATGGGTTATTAGACCCCACTCTTCCAATGCCTCTTAAAACGCCATCAGCCCGCCATTTTCCATCATGAAAATTTCCTGCATCATCTTCCCAATCGACAAAGCCAACTGGACAGTATCGCCTTTCATTTACAGGAATATCCTCCTCGCTCTTCTGTATGAAATTATGGAGAACAATTGTGGCTTGAATTATTAACTGGCAGTTTTCCTCATTGGCTATAATGGTGCTGCGTAGCCTTCGCCATCGTTGAGCTAATATCCCAAATGTATTCTCTATTGTTCTCCTTACACGGGAAAGTCTCAAGTTGTAATTTTTTTTTCTCTCATCTAAAAACGAGTCGGGAAAAGGCCGCATGATATTTTCGTGCAATGGAAATGCCTTGTCTGCAGCAAAAAAATGTGGCATTATTTCATTGCTATTAGGAAGTGCCGCTGGTTGAGGAATTGGTAGGGTCCCATTCATTAGCGCTTTAAATACTGCTGAATCGTGGTTGGCACTAATATCCACATAAGTGAATTTATAGTATCCATCACAGGCAGCCATGATGGTCATACTAAATGATTTTTTGTATGAATGCTGTGGACACTGAATGTCCACGTATTTACCATCAATGGAACCTACACAATTAGGGACATTCCATCTTAAAAAATTTTCTTTTGCCACATTTTTTAGATCTTCGACTGAAGGTTCTGGCAAAACAATTGGAACCAAAATCCTCCACAAAACATCACAGGTGTCCTTTATAATGTAATGGGCAGTGCTTTTCCCAATACAATTATTCCAAGCAATTTCTTGCATCGAGCAACCCTCTGCCAAGTAGTGCAACGTTAATGCAAGACGATGGCCCGGTGATATTGGATTTTTGCTTTTGCTTCGGCTTAAATGGGGTTGCAGTAAATTTAAGAGGTGCTGGAACATTTCAGGGCTCATTCTCGTATACTCAAAGAATTGGTCCCGATCATGCAAAGCAGAAAATTCGTAGACACTATGCTGCTTACGTTGTCGATTCATTGGTCTTGCTTTAAAACGCCGTTTTCTCTTCTTAAGTAAACCGAATGCAACCAACGAAGCCGATAAAAGCATTGAATACAAAAGTAGATCTTCCTCGGTCATCTAAAAATCACAAATATAAATTTTCAAACTTCTTGAATTAAAAACAAGACAATGATTACCTTGGCAATTACAGTTGAAATATTAAAACCACCGAACACAATATTAAAAGAATGTAACAAATAACAAACACTTATTTACACAAATTAGCTAGGTTAGAATATCGATTTAATGTCAACATTAAACATGCGCTTCGTTTGAAAATAGTACGAAATAACCTTGAAATAACGTTTATACAACTTCATATCATTAATTTATTTCATAATTCACAATTTAGTGCATAAGCATAGAAGTTAAATCGTACTATCTGCAATGAAACAGTTTATACAACGATTTAATCCCTAACTCACAATTTATTGAATAACCTTGAAAGTTCATAAAATTTAAGTTTTATGAAATAAATTATAGTTACTTTACTAACTTAGTTACCTCGGGTAACTAGATAATTTGAGTTGAAAGTATCTTTAGTTACAAGATACCTTAGGTTTTTTAGTTTTAGGTTAGGTAATTACTTTGAATCATTCTGGGATCCCCCAATTTTCTCTAAGAAAGTATCTAAGTTACACTGAAAAGTATCTAGGTAATTTACTTTAAAAAGTATCTTAGTTACTTTAAAAAGTATCTAAGTTACTTGAATGTATCTTACTTTACTTTACCGAGTAACTAAGATACTTTTTTAAATAAAAGTTACAAGATACTTTTCCAAAGTATGTAAGTTATAGATACTTTCTGTCCAATATCTTGGATACTTTAAGTATTTAAGTTACTTTTAAGTATCTTTTTTTTAAGATTCTCTCAGCTCTGTCACTTTTAATTATCAGTATTGTCATTTGAAAAAATAAAATATATATTATATTAATGAATTGTATAAACCAGATTATGAATTATGTATTAATTATGCATTAAATTAACAATTGAGTTATGAAATAAATTGTCCACTAAATTATCAATTGTTGTATAAACGGGTTTTTAACTTTTAAGTTAAATTAAATTACATCATAAATTAAATTACTTTTCTGTTAGAACCAGGCTTTAAAATATTTTTAAAATAATTTACCAAAATAAATTTAAAACAAGATTTAAAAAATACAAAATTCTTATTATGATGGGCAATGCCACAAGTGGTTATAGTTGTATTCAGGTGCACTCACGGCCTCCAAAAAATCCTCCACATCATCAAAATCCTTCTCCACACAAAACAATAAAAGTTAACACAAAAACATTATTTGTTTACACAAAAAAATAATGAATTAAAAAGTCAAA